ACGGAGCTACTCTAGCTAATTGCTCCCACTTTCAATATGTATCCAGATTGAGACTCAGAGTCATCCGGATCAGTCTCAAAGCTTGCATTGATGTAACCCTTTACGGCGAACTCTTTGTGACCTCCATAACCGTGTCCCTAGCGAGCCTCTACTAGACTAGCTCGTTGATCAAAGATGGTTAAGGTTTCCTAACCATAGACATGTGTTGTCATTTGATAACGGGATCACATCATTAGGAGAATGATGTGATGGACAAGACCCATCCGTTAACTTAGCATAATGATCGCTCAATTTTATTGCTATTGCTTTCTTCATGTCAAATACATATTCCTTCGACTATGAGATTATGCAACTCCCAGATACCGAAGGAATGCCTTGTGTGCTATCAAACGTCACAAGATAACTGGGTGATTATAAAGATGCTTTATAGGTATCTCTGAAGGTGTTTGTTGGCATAGATAGAGATTAGGATTTGTCACTCCGAGTATCGGAGAGGTATCTCTGGGCCCTCTCGGTAATACACATCATAAGCTTGCAAGCAAACGACTAAGGAGTTAGTCATGAGGTGATGTATTACGGAACGAGTAAAGAGACTTGCCGGTAACGAGATTGAACTAGGTATGAAGATACCGACGATCGAATCTCGGTCAAGTAACATACCGATGGACAAAGGGAATTACGTATGTTGTCATAATGGTTCGACCAATAAAGATCTTCGTAGAATATGTAGGAGCCAATATGGGCATCCAGGTTCCGTATTGGTTATTGACCGGAGAGGTGTCTCGGTCATGTCTGCATAGTTCTCGAACCCGTAGGGTCCGCACGCTTAACGTTCGATGTCGATTTGGTATAATATGAGTTATGTGGTTTGGTGAACGAATGTTGTTCAGAGTCCTGGATGACATGACGAGGAGCTCCGGAATGGTCTGCAGGTAAAGATTGATATAAAGGACAATGCTATTTGGTCTCCGGAATAGTTTCAGAATGCAGCGGAAAGTTATCAAAAAGCTGGAAGGGGTTTCGGAGGCACCGGGAGAGTATTGGGCCTTAGTGGGCCAAGTGGAAGGGAACACACCAGCCCACATGGGCTGGTGCGCCCCATTTAGGGAAGCCACACCTAATACATGGTAAGGGGGGGGGGGGGCGCTTCCCCCTCTCACCATATCCCGGAGAAGGGAGGAAGGAAAGAAGGGGGCGCCTCTCCCCTTTCCTTCCCCGTGTGCCATTATTTGGCACACCACAGGGGGGAGCCCTAGGGCTGCCGCCATACCTGTTGGGGCGCCCTAGGGGTTGCCTCCTCCCCTCCCACACCTGTATATATGTGGGGAGGGGTGCCACACAATACACAGCTTATTCCATGCCGTTTGCCGAGACCCCTCCGCCTCTAGTTTACTCCTCCGCTCTAGATCGTCACAGTGCTTAGGCGAAGCCCTGCGGGATTGCTTCACCACCATCATCACCATGCCGTTATGCTGACGGAACTCATCTACTACCTCACCCCGCTTGTTGGATCAAGATGGCGAGGACGACACCGAGCTGAATGTGTGCAGAACGCGGAGGTGCCGTCCATTCGGTACTTGATCGGGCGGATCGTGAAGGTGTACGACTACATCAACCGTGTTGTATAAATGCTTCCGCTTACGATCTGCGAGGGTACGTAGACACACTCTCCCCCTCGTTGCTATGCATCTCCGTGGATAGATCATTGCGTGTGCGTAGTTTTTTGTTTTCCATGCAATAATTCCCAACAGGCGCAATCCACCATCTCTGGCTATCGTTGTCGCACCCGCGGGCTGGGGGTGCAGGCACCAACACCCAGCGACTCCTAGAACGACATGTGTTGGCGGTGCTGGGCGCCGTTGCTCGCCCTGCCGCCTCACCGGGGATGGCAGAGAGCGCGTAGGGCAGCGCCGGGCCGCCATGGAGGATGAGCTTCCTACCTAGGACGTCGAGGATGCCGTGGAGGAGCTCCTGCCCCGGCACATCCACAAGCGCGAGCTCCTCCTCGTCTAGGTCAGATGAGCTCAATGAGTTTGTGACGGATAGTCCCACCCAATCAATCTTGCCAGAGCCACTTTCAGCAATGGCTGAGGGGACGAGATAGATTGGGATGAAAGGGAGGAGAGCGGAGAGGGCGAGAGTGTTGCGAATTGGCACACAAATGGACTTGTGGTTAACTGAAAACTGCAGTGGAATCAAAGTAATCTTAGCACCACATCATGTACTAACTCAAGGGTTGTTGCTTAGCACGAAAGGAAGCATATGCATCAGCATATATGGAGATAAAATGTTACTCGGCAGACAAGACACTCCTTAGCCGAGTGTCTTGTGGTAGGAGTAACTTTCTGGACAGCAGCAAGCATCAACAAAGAGGCACCAGATTTTTACGTGGACCCCCCCAACTCGAGGGGAAAAACCACGGGCCAAAGCCATCCAAATCCTCTTCCACTATTATCGAATGTGGGATACAACAAGTTCTTCTCTAGATAACACCAAAGGATCTCATAAAATCAAGACTCCTGAATCTTGGATGAAGACACCAAGATTTGGGGCTCAAGAACTAGGGATTGGAACAATCTCATCGAAGATGGTGGAACCGAAGCTTGAAGGAGACAAGGTAGTGGATCTAGACCATCACTACCTTGGGGAGGAGCTCCCTTTGCTTCTTCCTTCAATCTTCCTCTTCTCCCTTCTCTTTTGGTTTTCTCTCTTCCCTTGGAGGATGAACTAATTTTCATAACACTTGGTGGTGGCTACTGGATGGAGGCTAAAGCATCCCCATTCACTCACGTGCAAAGTCCAAAATGACCCTAGGTCATAACCCTAATGGGTAGTGAGTTTCTGCACCTCTTGGGCTGCCTAAAAGGCTTCAAATGTTCATCTCCTCACAACCCACACGAGGAGGATATCCCAACAAAGAGGACTGAGAGAGGAGTGGGGTTTGACTAGGATGATCAGCCGAATGGGGTTTTTGTGGGTACATTGGTGAGGATGGCTCGGGCCATAGCGGGCCGGTCCAACGTGGCAGCGTGCCCGGGCACGTTCGGGCCTTCCCATGTCCATCCTACATATAGGCTAGATATGGGGGTTGTCGGACTGTCCGGAGGATTGGACTAGCTGTGAGGAGTCCGGCTGGGTGCGGTTTTTATCTCAGCAATGACCGGACAATCCACCCGGGTGTTTAGGATGGATGTGGGGATCCGATTGTAGATGCTCTTAGAGCATCTACAGCCGGGCGTCCCAAACCGTCCTCAAACGCCCGGGCCGACCGCCCGGTCACTGACCGATTACGATTTTTTGACCTAGACGTACGCCTCAAATGCCCGGACTAACCGGGACTCCTCATATTCAGCCCAAATATGGGGCGAATATGGGGTGGCCCAGGCACGTCCGCCTGACAACGCCGGCCCACCATCGACCCCATGGATGTCCCACAAAAAACTCCATCCGACTCATTACTCCGAAACCCTAGCTCACTCACTCTTCTCTCTCGCTCTGTCCTCTCCTTTCCCCGCAGCGATTCCGATCGAATACGACACAATGTCGAGCTCCGGCAGCCGCTCCGACCTCGAGCTAGATCCGGACTATGAGCTTGCCCTTCGCGTCGCCTTAGAGCGGTCCAAGGTGGAGACCAGGGGCAGCTCCGGATCTGCAGCCTCGCCGCAGCTGCAGCTTCCCTGTTGGTGCAACTCGGATGCCTGCGCTGGCCCCTCTCGACCCGGGCGTAGCTTCGATAGGGCAGTCCGCGCGCCGCCGCCGCGAGATGCAGGCGGAGCCCGATGAGGATGCGCGGCTCCTCAAATGGGCCTACCGCTGGTCGCTTACGACCGCGAAGATGGATGTGCGGCGGCTTCGGCGGAAGAACGCCAAGGCGCTACGGATTGCCATTGAGCAATCCGAGCGCGAGGCGGCGGAGGCAGTGGCGGAGGCGGTTCGGCTTGTGAAGCTGAAGCGGCAGCAGGACAGGGAGGTCCGACGGCTAAAATGGCTCGTCATCCTCTTCGACTCCGACGACGACGTCTCGGACAGCTCCTCCGACGACTCGAACGATCCGCCACCAGCCGCCGACGCCTACAGTTGCGCCGGCGACCGGAAGGGCAAAGGGCCGGCGAGGAAGTGGTGAATCTCCGTCGTCTCCGTCTTCAGTTCTAGTTTTTAGTAATGTAGTTTAAGTTTATGTGAATTATGTGAACTTTGACAATTTTTTGGACATCCATCGATGATCTACGTTCTTTTTTTCTACTTTAATTGCTAGTATGGATATGAGGGACTGGATATGAGATACACGAATATTGGCGACATAATTTGAAGGTTGCCCGGTTAGTGCTCATCACGTCTGCGGATATTTAAAAGGCCGGATTTACAAGATCCGACAGTAGATGCTCTTACTCCGAGCTGAGAGGATCGCGACGTGACCTGACTGCCGTGTGTAGGCTCCCAACTCCAGCAGAGGCTCTAGACTAGCGACGAGTACGGGTGTGGATGTGGATGCGGCGGCAGAGACGTGCGATACAGGGGTATTTGGCTGGACAGGAAACGCACACGCCGCGAGCAGGTAGCAAGCCAAACGCCGCGGCGCGACCCGAGCATCGCCTCCGTTCTTTGGTCGGGTGGAGTGGAAATGGAACAAAAGACAAGATGCGCCGCGGCAGGCCGGCCGTCCCACTCGGCTGTGTCAGGCGTGCAGTCGCCGAGTCGTCGTAATCTGCACCAGGGTCGCACGGGCGCGCACCCACGCCGCGCCCTGCGCCGGCGTGGCCTCTGAGCCATGTCGAGCTGCCCGCCCACTGCTCTATAGGACAGACAGACAAAAAACGTGTGCGCGCTTCTGTCGTCGTTTCAGACTCGCGCGGCTCGTCTCGTCTGCACCACTATTACACTCTCACAACGTACAGTAGGAGCTCAGCAAGCTCTACGGAACTTGCAAAGAAAGAACCGGCTGGCAGCCTCATTATTTCACTCATGTCTAGAGTTACACAGGAGTACAGATGAGACCATAGTCAGGCACAAGCAAAGTTGTTCAACTTGAGTACCCGGGAATCACCCAAGGGGAGAAGGCTAGACACACGTCTCAGCAGGTAATCGTAGTAGCAGTCAGTAGTAGCAACACTGCTCCAACAAGCAGCAGCAGGACAGCCCAACCAAGCATGTAGCCATCACGGGGTACCGGTTAGCAGTAGCACAGCCAGTAGCAGGGCCTAACAAAGCCCATATATACTACTCCCTCCGTTCTGAATTACTTGTCATAAGTATGGATGTATCTAGATGTACTTTAGTTTTAGATACATCCATTTCTGCGACGAGTAATTTAGAACGGAGGGAGTAACAAACTGCATGTCCCAACTATGCATGCTATGTAGAGAAATGAGCTCCAGAAAAAGCATCATACCATCCTCTCAGGAAGGTGAGGCAGTCAGGATCATCTTGGTAGCTGTACAAGTGAGGTCCACGATCAGATGGAGCCGGTTGCCCTGCCCAGTTATAGGAAGGGTTCTCTTCGCCAAGGTGGGTCTGGTAGCCATGTGAGCTCGGTGGCGGGTACACGCTTGCTTCAGGGTATGGGAACAAGTTGTGCACTGAAACAGGTTTCCACGAAAAAGAATACATGGCGTAAATCTATCAACTTCAGTTTTTTGCCTTCAAAAAATACAAACCGTACCAACTTCAGAGAATGTTTATTTGGATTTAGACTCCAACTAAGCATTCAGAAACAATGATCAAGCAGAAAATCACACCACATGTGAGGCTCTTTGCAAGAACCGAAGTAGGACAACAGCAAGAATCTTCATGAGGAAAAAGGACGTGTGCTGGAACGCAATTACCAAAGAACCACCGATTGGTAATGATTCGAGAAGGATGAATCTTTCTTGCCTTGGGATGAGTACGCATTCCTTGAGCCTTGCATGCTGCAGTCTGCGTTCTCTCCGTTTCTCAGCGGTGTCTGTTTTGAGTTGCAAGCTTCGGGAGGAATACAAGAAAAAGAGGCTATCCTCGGTTGCTCTCAGGTTTGTTCCGGGCGATGACTTCAGCTAGCAGCACCGTTCGTTTTGTTTTCATTCATGCCATGGTGGTCTTATGCGGTTGTGCCTATCCTGTGTCACCGAAACTCAATTTGTTGATGCCTAGCTCCAATCCGTACAAATTAGTGGGAGCCTCCAAGGGCGAGGAGGGCCTACACGCCGTCCGTTGTGTGGTGGCGTGCCGCGGGCGCCTCTCTGGGCTTTTCGTGCCGATCGATCTGCCCGGACGGCGCGGATCCAGACGGGTCGCCTCAGGGGTTCATGATAGATGGACCGTGGACGCAACCTAGGCCATCGTGCTAGGTTACGCATGTTGCCCCGCGCGCGATGGGAAAGGCGGACCTGTCTGTCGGAGTCTTCAGCCTGCGTCGGACTGGTTTGCTCGCGACAAGCGGGGCGTGTGTCACACTCACACCAGCCGACCAGTGCTAGAGACCTGCTCGGCAAGGAAGCTCTCTGCGCCGTCCGTTTTGTGCCGGACTCCTGCGGCTGCCTTCCTGGGGCTCTCCACGCGGTCTGATATGCTCGAACAACGCCCGGCCTACCTAGGGGGTCTATAATGGGTGGACCGCGGACGCGCCGGGGTCACCGTTATGTGGTGATTTCGATCGCGCCCGCGTGTGCCGCTCCATGCGGTGCGTTGCGCGAGGAGAGGCCGGGTCACCCTGTTAGGGTCGCATGCCCTCGACTATGCTTGTACGTTTGCGCTAGCCAGACTAATGCGCGTGCACACCTTGGCTTTGCCTATCCGGACTCTTGCCTTCGCGCGTCCCGACCAGTACGCTTGGATGTTCTTGGGACGGATCGGGATGAACATCTGGTCTTCAGCCGATGGCCGCGGTGATGGTGACGCCCTTGGCGTCGCTTCCTTCATGAAGGCATCATCGAGGTGAAGCTTCCAACTCCTCTCGCTATCTCTGGAGGAAACCCTTGATCAGTCGATCTGATAATGACGGCGCTTTTGTGTCGTTCTCTTCTTGGGGCGTCATTTTCGAAGGTGTGCATTGGCTCGAGGGACCAGCGGACGGTTTTAATGGTGGAGCGGCGTCCCACGTCACGCATCGACGATGTGGAGTCTCGGCAGCGTGGTGCAGCAGGGTCTTGGCCGGGGTCATCCTCCTTTTCAGAAGAAAAAAAAAACAAAACAGGAAGTGCTGACATGACGCATGGTGACCTATATTGGTCTACATGCTCAGAGTAATTGAAGGTTTAATAAAAATAAAACGTACTATCCCCTTGCATGGTCTGGCCTACCTGAACAAAATAAGAAATCTGAACATTAACTTACGTTCTATGCGCAAGCTGTACCATGAAGGACGAATAAGAAAGCATAAGTATTACTCACGTTGCTTTGCCATGTGATGAGAGGGCGAACCATACATGAGTCTGAACTTAATAGGATGTGATGATAGTATTAAAAACCCACTTAAATTGTAAGCGTAGGGTACTGCATGCTGTTTAGTGGAGATGTTAGAATTAATGGGCTAGGCTCATAGCAATTTCTGAAATCTCAAAGCCCATGTGTAAAATGGCAAGTGGTGGTGCTAAGTTTAGTCCCACCTTGGAAGTTGAAGAAGAGTTGGACCTCTTTATATCGTGGGTTCTCTCCACCACTCTAAGTGGTGTGTGAGAAGAGAAAGGGAAAGCCACGCGAGCGCTCGCTCGCCTCGCCTCGCCAGCTACCGGCTGCGGCCAGAGATACACCGGAAAAACACCTAGGGTTTTGTCTCGTCTCACAACTTGCGCCGCCATCGTAGTCTACTCTATCCCAAACGCCGGCGTGCATCGGCGCGTGGGAGAGCAGGTCTCCGGAACCGTTCGTCTTTGCGATCCTGCATCGGGAGAGGACGAATTAGGTTTTTGGGAAGCGCTGTGCGCGACTGCTCAAATTCGTCATCACGGGTCGTCTTCCGTCCAAGTCGGGCGGTGCTACTCATCGTCGTACTCATCGCCGTCAGCAGCAGATCGTCGCCAACATCGTCATCAACACTGTCGCACCCATAATAGCTAACGATCAGTACGTCCAACATCTTTTGTTCATGTCTGTTTCTACAGCTATTGTTACGTGCTTGCTGCTGTTATGCATGTCTTGTTGTTCTTCTAGTTTGCTAGATTATTGCATGCTAGTATATCTTCTAGTCATGAATTATTTACTGGAATTAATCATGAACTTGCCTAATATTCCAACAATTCAAAAACCTAATTGTAGGCAATTTCCTGAGTTAACTATGGCTGGATTCGCTGATGCACTGAGGCCGGATAAGTTTACCGGTGTGCACTTTAAGAGGTGGCAGGTGAAGACCACGCTCTGGCTTACTGCTCTGAAAATTTTCCACGCTAGTGTTGGTGCTCCAGAGGGAATGACCGACGAAGATCGGAGAAAATTCCAGGAAGCCAATACTATGTTTGTGGGATGCATTCTGAGTGTTCTTGCTGACCGTCACATAAACGACGGAAAAATTCTGTGGGATGCACTGAATGCAAAATTCGGTGCAACAGATGCAGGCAGTGAACTGTACATCATGGAGAGTTTTCATGACTACAAGATGGTGAATAACCGTTCTGTGGTTGAACAAGCTCATGAGATACAGTGCATTGTGAAGGAACTTGAACTCCTTAAATGTGTTCTACCCGACAAATTCGTGGCTGGGTGCATGATTGCAAAGTTGCCTCCTTCATGGAGGAATTTCGCCACAACTCTGAAGCATAAGAGACAGGAGATATCAGTTGAAAATCTGATTGCATCTCTTGATGTTGAAGAAAAAGCTCGGGCTAAAGATACCACTGAAAAAGGAGGTGAGGTTCAGCCTACTGCTAACATGGTGCAGAGGTACCCACAGAACAAGAACAAAGGGAAGAACAAACCTGTTGTCAACAAGCCTACCAAGACTACTACCTTCAAGAAGAAGAAGTTCAACAAGGCTGAGCTAGAGTGCTATGCCTGTGGGAAGCCTGGACACTTTTCCAAGGAATGCCCTGAACGTGCAGACCGCAGAGGGAAAACAAGCTCCAAGACTGTCAACATGGTGACCGCTAGCAATACTGATGGGTATGGTAATCTACCTATTGTGCTTTCAATATTTCAATCATCTTCGTGGTGGATTGATTCGGGTGCTAACGTTCATGTGTGTGCTGACATCTCCCTGTTTACTTCTTATCAGGTCACAAGGGATTCTTCCGTCCTAATGGGGAATGGGTCACATGCTTCTGTTCGTGGCATTGGCACGGTGGATCTGAAGTTTACTTCGGGAAAGATCGTGCAACTAAGGAACGTGCAGCATGTCCCTACTATGAACAAGAATCTAGTTAGCGGCTCCCTTCTATGTCGAGATGGATTTAAGGTAGTTTTAGAGTCCAATAAAGTAATCGTGTCAAGATTTGGACAATTTATAGGAAAAGGCTATGAGTGCGGAGGCTTGTTTCGTTTTTCTCTTTCAGATTTTTGCAATAAGTCAATAAACCAAGTTTGTGCTAGTGTTAATGATGATGCAAGTATTTGGCACTCTCGTTTATGTCATATTAATTTTGGTTTAATGTCTCGGCTATCCAGCATGAGTTTAATTCCGAACTTCACAGTTGCCAAAGGTTCTAAGTGCCATAGTTGTGTGCAATCTAAGCAACCTCGAAAGCCTCATAAGGCTGCCGAGGAGAGAAACTTGGCGCCTCTAGAACTCATACATTCTGATCTTTGTGAGATGAATGGTGTGTTGACAAAAGGTGGAAAGAGATATTTCATGACTTTGATTGATGATGCACTAGATTTTGCTATGTTTATTTGTTGCAAACTAAAGATGAAGCATTAGACTACTTTAAAATCTATAAAGCTGAAGTTGAAAATCAACTAGAGAGAAAGATCAAGCGTCTTAGGTCCGATCGTGGTGGAGAGTATTTTCCAAAAGTTTTTGATGAATTTTGTGAGGAACATGGTATTATTCATGAGAGGACGCCTCCCTATTCACCTCAATCAAATGGAGTGGCCGAGAGGAAAAACCGCACATTGACTGACTTGGTGAATGCCATGTTAGACACTGCTGGTTTATCTAAGGCATGGTGGGGGGAGGCTCTATTGACTTCATGTCATGTCCTGAATAGAGTTCCCAACAATAATAAAGAGAAAACCCCTTATGAGGAGTGGGTTGGGAGAAAACCATCACTTTCTTATTTGCGCACTTGGGGATGTTTGGCAAAGGTCAATATTCCTATTCCTAAGAAACGCAAACTTGGACCAAAGACAGTGGATTGTGTCTTTCTAGGGTATGCTCAACGGAGCATTTCTTATAGGTTTTTAGTGGTAAAATCTGAAGTACCTGATATGCATGTTGATACTATAATGGAATCTCGTGATGCAACATTTTTTGAGAACATATTTCCTATGAAAGATATGCATAGCATTGCTAGATTTTCTTCTGAGATAATTCCTGAATCTAGTACAACTGATGAATATTTCGAACAATCACATGAGGAAGTCCTTGAGAAGGATAACAATGAAGTTCCTAGAAGGAACAAGAGACAAAGGATTGCAAAATCCTTTGGTGATGATTTCATTGTATACCTTGTGGACGACACACCCAAGACGATTGCAGAAGCATATGCATCTCCGGATGTAGATGATTGGAAAGAAGCTGTTCATAATGAGATGGACTCAATTCTTTCTAGTGGAACTTGGGAACTAACTGATAGACCATATGGTTGTAAACCTGTGGGCTGTAAGTGGGTGTTCAAAAAGAAGCTAAAGCCTGATGGTACTATTGATAAGTACAAGGCGCGGCTAGTGGCCAAGGGCTACACTCAGAAAGAAGGCGAAGATTACTTTGACACCTATTCACCCGTTGCTAGAATGACCACCATTCGAGTGTTACTTTCCTTGGC